CGGTCTCGCCTGAATTCTTGTCTTGGTCCTGTCTGGAAACCCTTCCCGTTCTTAAAGGAGCAGGGCACTTCTGGTTTCAGAAATCTAGGAATGTGAGGGGTGGGTGACCCGGGGTCTGTACGCACATTTTTATAGGGACTGACTGGGAAACAGAAGGTCCCTGGATTTCTCAGGTCCCGGGGAAAGGCCCAGCCTCCTGCAGCCACTGTGATCATTAGATCTGCAGCCGTTTGTCTAGTTAATTGCTCTCCTCTGAAAGGGTGAAGTTCCTCTGATGGTGGGGAAGGGCCAAATGGCTGCAGCTGGGCCCGGCCTCCAGGTGTCAGCAGCCCCCAGCACTGTCTCCATAGGCATTGACATCACAGGGGGTGCAGTCCCAGGACTGGAAGACCCCACGAGGCAGGGATGGGGAACCCCCGCCCCCCACCCCCGGGCTGTCTAGCTTCAGGGGAGATTGTTTACACACCAAAGGGTGGGAGGGAGGTGCCGGCCCCAGGTTTCCCGGGAAAGAGTGTTTCCGGAAGGGAGGGGCGAGCGACCTCCTTCCCCCTAGGAGCAGACAGGCTAATTTTCCTCGCCCCTCACCTGTGCAGTGTTTGGCTGCTCGCACGGATCCTTGGCTTTTCGGATGTGCGGTGGGGCGATGTATTATTTACATTAAAGTAACTCATAAGACAGTGATGGCGAACCTTTCGAGCTCGGCGTGCCAGCATGTTGAAAAACCCTAACTTAACTCTGGTGCCGTGTCACGTATAGAAATTTTTGATATGTGCAACCATAGTAAAACAAAGACTTATATTTTTGATATTTATTTTATATATTTAAATGCCATTTCACAAAGAAAAATCAACCAAAAAAATGAGTTCGCGTGTCATAGGTTCGCCATCACTGTCATAAGAAACCTGTAGAACACCTCCGCTGTGCATTCAGAATAAAGTTAATAACGATGAATATTAAAACCCAAACACCGGCCAACAGAATGGGGCGGGTCCTGTCCCTCCTCCTCCACCAATCACGACCCGCTCTGGAGAAGGAGGGAGCAAGGCATCCAATCCAAAGCCTTTCCCGCTGGGAAGAGCGGGAATGACTCAGGGCCCAGGCCCGCCAGGAGGCCGCCACCCCCGCCCACGAGAGGTGCCAGAGGAAAGACAAGGCACCCAGTTTCATGTGAATTTGGGGTCGACAACAAACAATTTTTAGCATAAATAGACCCCCAAATAGTGAACAGGCCATACTTATGCGGAACAAGGAAAACCTTCCACCGACTGTTGATCTGAAACGGAGGCGCCTGCACTTTTATTGGCTGCGTCTGGCACTGGTGACCTGGGAAGGCCCCGGCCGAGGACACGTCGTGCCTGCCCAAAGGATAAAGGGAAAAGGGCGCTCGGCCCTCTCTTCTCTTCCGCAGGGTGTCGGAGGAACCCAGCACACAGCGACACCCACAGCGTGTATGAGCCATGGACGGAATGCGTGCCCACCCGCGGCTCCCTCTCCTCCCTCCCACTGCCCTCCTGCCGGGAGGTTTTCAGCGGCGGGTAACAGAGATGGTGCCTGAGAACGGCTTCAGTCATAAAGGCCTTTCACTGTCTACGGCAGCGTTTCTCAACCTTGGCTGCACATTAGAATCACCCGGGAATACGGAGATGAGTGGGTTGGGGGTTGGGGTGGCAGCTCACAAGTGGGTATCTGCGTCCCCCATCCTCTGGCTGCTTGGTGACGAGGCGGCTGCTGCAGCTCCAAGTACAGCCTCCCAGCAGGACTTCGAGCAGGAAAAGAGCCGGACAGCAGGAACAGGGGCTTTCCTTTTACTCGGAAGGCCTCCCATCATCCTTCCCTTCCTCATTCATTGGTTGGAACCGGGTCAAAGGCCCACCCCCGGCCACAGGATGGGCTGGGAAAGTGAGTATCGGGCATAAGGGGTCAGAAGAGCAGGGACTGGCTACACCAGGGCCCCGTTTCCAAGGCTGGGCAGTTGCCTTCCCAAAGCAGGGTTCGCTTAGCGAGGAGGTCACGCTCAACATTCGATACCCAGCAAGGAGGCGAACTGAACGGGAGAGTAACCGAAAGAGGCCGGTGGGCCTGGCTGGAAGCACCGTGTTTGAGTCCATGGAAGCAGGATCCTGTGGCTGGGAGGTGGGAGATGGAGGCTGAGTGTGCGAGGCCCACTCTACCTCCTCTCCCGCTGGCCTGTCCAGACGGCAGGTGGTATTCCAGCAGGGGCCCTGCTGTCCAGAATTATCCAGAACTTAAAGACGGAGACAGCAGAGCACTCAGGCGCAGGGCCCTTCGGAGCACCAGGTCACCCACCCGTGAAACCCGCCCTGGCCTCGCCCGGAGCAGAGTGACCAGCCCAGGACAGGGAGCCTTGGTGAAGGTGTTTTAGGGTCTTTGGGGGTGGAGGGGGGGTATGAAGTTGGATTAAATACATTCATGGATAGTGGGGAAAGCTGTGAGTTGGATTGTTGTAATTAACATGTGTCCTGGCCTCAGCACTAACTCTCATTCAAGAGCAAAGAAAGAACCGATCTCGCCCTTTCTATGCGTAACCCGGGGCGGAGGCAGAAGTCAGAGAAGACGGGGCTCTCGGGGTTCCTCCCAGCGTAGCAGATGGGGATGGAAGTCGCCTGCATCCTCATGCCCATCCCGACGGGGCGGTGCCAGTCTCTTATCTGATTGTCTCGGTGGCCCTGTGCGGTGGGTGTGTCATCTCCATCTTATAGATGAGGTCGTTAGGGCTCAGAGCAGCCCATGGTCATCCACGGACATGGTCCCGCTGGGGTGGGAAGCTAGGCAGTCGGAACCCACAGCCCGTGCTTGTTAGCTCTCTGCACCACTGAATGAGCCCAATGGGCTCGGTGAGGCCAATAGGTGAGACCAGATATAAAGGGGCTGGGTATTTGGAGGGAGGGGGGAGTCTTAGAACCCTAGGGCCCAGGGGGCATGGTAAGGTATGCCACCGGGGTGTCACTCAGCCACGGGACTGCAGGCGGAGGACGGCCCCCGAGATGGCAGTGGAGACGGGCCAGGGAGCCCGAGCCAGGCCATCGGCGGAGTTCTCCTCACAAAAGTGTCTGTCGTGCATGGCCAGTTTCCGAAATGAATCCACCAGCCAGGGACGTCGGTTGAACCACTTTTAATTAAAATGCACTGGAATGGGATGAACGCCAGAGCGTGAAAGGCGGGGCTCCCATTTGCTAAGAAAACAGCTGAAACTATTCCAGGGAGCTGAGCGCATTTTGATAATGGAATTTTAAGCAGCTTCTTGGTTTTAATTTTATTTAAAATGTTTATGTAGTTAGAAAAAACAGCTTGCTATTCATTTCCTACCCGAATGCAGGAAACGCTGAGACATTTTAAATTAGTCGAGACTCCACAGACATAAATATAGGTCCCGGTTCAGCGGCAGAATTAGTGTTTCTGAGTTGTTCCGTCCACACCTGGGCGATCAGCCCATCCGATTCTATTTGGAGAACAATGTCAGCCTCCAATTCAATCTACCTAATATCCAAGTTCCGTGACATTGTCCAGTTTAATGAGATAGCTCAGTGAAATTAAGACACTGTTAATCTCGTCTCAAAATCAGTTTTCTTTCCAGGACAATTCTTGGGAACCTCAAAAATCTCTCGCTTTATATAATAAGCAGTATATATTCAAGGGTTGAGATCTAAAAGAATAAGTACATTCATATTAAAAAAATCCTCATAGCCCAGCTGGCATGGCTCAGTGGTTGAGCATCGATCTATGAACCAGGAGGTCACGGTTTGATTCCTGGTCAGGGCACATGCCCAGGTTGCGGGCTTGATCCCCAGTGTGGGGTGTGCAGGAGGCAGCCAATCCATGATTCTCTCTCATCATTGATGTTTCTCTCTCCCTCTCTCTTCCTCTCTGAAATCAATAAAAAATATATTACAAACAAACAAATCCTCATAAAATAGGATCTCACAGAGAGGTGCCCTTGAAACATGTTGTCATCTGCTGAAGGGCAGTACGCTTACTGTATTGATATATCTGAAGTACTTGCTCAAGATGAAAGCATTCTCTATGCTTGGACCTCTATTAGAATACATAATGCAAATAGGAGACTGATAAATGGGAATGATGATGAAGAAAAAGAATTAGCCCAAACCTCCAGACTTCTCCTATTTAGAAATAGTGTTCACCAGTGAAATGATGTCTGTGTGCGATTTTCTGTTGAAGCGTTCTGTTTAACGGCATAAGATGGGAAATAATGCAAATGCGTGTCAACGGTAGAGCAGTTCAATGTTACACTATTTCCAGACACGGACTAGAGTGCAATTATAACAAAACAAGCACGCCCTGTATGTGCTGAAAGGGAAGACACTCCCAAATAAATCAAGTGAAAAGTAACAGTGGCTCACCCGGCCGGCGTGGCTCAGTGGTTGAGCGTTGACCTATGAACCAGGAGGTCATGGTTCAATTCCCCATCAGGGCACATGCCCAGGTTGTGGGCTCGATCCCTAGCAGGGGGTGTGCAGAAGGCAGCCGATTGATGACTCTCTCTCATCATTGATGTTTCTTCCTCTCTCTTCCTCTCTGAAATCAATAGAAAATATATTTTAAAAAATTCATAAAATCAAAAAAGGACAGTAACAACTGCCCACCTTTCTGCTGGACATTTCCTGTCCTTGGAACATGGAAGACAGATTCCTGAAGGGAAACCCCCAACATTCAAAACCCTTGACCTCCAGCAAAGCGTCCCCTGGTGTTAAAGCCCCATTCTAGCCTCTGCCTATGAACTTGCAAATTAGAAAAAAATATATTTGTCCTTGAAAATATTAGTCAAGGGAGGCAGGGTTCTCAGGTGACGGTGGGACTTCGGGACACTAGGAAAGTGGGTGATGTCAAGACCAGCCCGGGAGAAGCTGGTGTGGGAGCAGGAATGGGGGCCAGCAGTTAGCTGAGGGCCACCCAGGCCACCACCGTGGACCAGCGCCTTGGCTGCTGGGCTGCTGGGTGGGGTGGGGGTTGGGGTGGGCCCCTCACTCCGCCTCTTTCTTCTCCTCCGGGACCTCCACCAACAGGATCTGTTCGCCAGGGTCCAGGCCGGGGCTCACGCGGATCTGCACCGAGTGCTCCTCCTGGGGACCAGCTGCCTCCTTCTCGGCGCCCCCTGGCGAGGCGGGTGGCTGAGAGCCTGGGGCCGGGGGTTCCTGGGGTGCAGGCTGGTCGGGGGCGGCGGAGCCCACCTCTCCTGCCGCGTCTTCCGAGCTCTTGGCCTGGAATCCCGAAAGGGTGACTGGTGAGGCCGAGAATGTCCAAGGGATCTTACTACCTCCCTGTCCCCCGCGTCGGACCCCACGGAAAAGGATGGCGAGCTCAGCAGGTGCAACTAGCGGGTTGGGGGCTGGGCGGAGCCACGTCAGGGTTACTTATGGAGACGCTATATTATGGGGGACGTTGACGGATTAAAATCTCTGGTTGGAAGGTCCTGGGGAGAGATGTTAGGTCTCTGTTGCGTCCCAGAGCTAAGCCTCTCCCTGCCCACCCGGTTCCCAGGGCTGCGCGCTCCTTGGGGGATGAGAAAAACTAACCAGACGAGGGAAGGGCCGATGAGGGCTGGAGCGGCTGTGGCCTGCCCCCCTTTCTAGAAGGTCTCAAAGGCTGAGATCCACAGAGGCCCCTGGCATTAGGCTGGGCTGAGCCCCACGTCTGGGGACTCGGTGGGTACCTCCAGCCTCCAGCCTGCAGGCCCCCGAGGGTGCTGGCCATGGTCTGTGTATCATAGGGAATTGGTTGAAAACCCATGCTTTTGTGGGTACCCATGGCCCCTCCTGGAGGGAGCAGCCCCCAGACCAGGAGGCCCAGGGTCCCCAGATGTCAGAGTCCCGCTTGAAATGGTGCTGAGTTAAAGGGAGAGCAGTCACCATGCGGAATTAAAGGGACAGAGACCCCTGAAGTTGGCTCAAGTCACAAGGTGTTGAAGGAAGGGGAGCAGGGGGTGGGGGACAAGATGCTCCTAGAACCCAAGGCGTCCTGGGGGACGTGTCCCTCCCTCTGTCCCATGTGTCTGCAGGCTTGTCACCCCGGTTCCCCCCTCCCCTGCCCACGCTAAGCTCTGACAGGCACTCCCAAGGCAGGATGCCCAGATGGCGCCCCCTATGGGACCTCCTGAAGCATCCTGCTTTGACGGGACCCGAAGAATCATGGGACAGTTGGTCCAAATGCTTTCGTAAAAGGCATCCCGGGTCTCCCGCTTCATCCCTGGTACCCCATGTGGCGACCCTGAGGAACCAGGGGCTCGGGAGGCTTGAGGAGCTATACCCGTCACAGCTGGCGGTGACAGGGCCGGGGCTTGGACCTGTGTCTTTGGACGGCTACGGAAGAGCCCCTTGCACGTTGCCATTCTGCCCTGGTTCTGAATTGCAGGGGAAATGCCTTTGATTGGAACACGTGTGCACATGTAATTCCCGTCTCCGAGCTGCCTCGGTGAAGAGCTGACATTAGGAGCCCTTTTCGGATCAAGCCCGTCACTGTCCTGAGGACACTCGGGGAGCTCCTGTCAGCTCAGCCGGCCCTAAAGACCCCAACCAGCCGGCGTGATGCCGCCCTTGGCAGGCAGCGAGCCAGACAGTCACGCCTGTGCTCAACCTGGGGCCAGTGGTGACTGCTTCTGGAGACCCAGGCATCACTCCTCAGATCCCGCTGTCCCCTGGCCTCTGACGGGTCCCCGGACTCTGACGCCAGCCTGCACTGAGCCGAGTGCACTGGCCTCCTCCGAATTGTCTCCCATGTCCTGCTGCCCCCTCCCCTGCCACCGAGCTCCTGCCTAAGCCCATCCCCCCATTTCCCGGCAGCCTCCCTACAGGACCGTAATGAGCAGCCGTAATTAATGCAATCACTCTAATTGGCATTCTGGGCATTAGTCACAGAAAAAAACGGCCCAGAACTAATTTGAAAATTCCCTTTAGATTTATGGGGGCGGGAGCAGTCTGCACAGTGCCTGTCGCCTTTCCAAATCTTTTAAATTGCAAATCTTTTCGACAGACACAACATGAACTAGGAGAACATCACTTTTATCTGGGGAGGGAGGGACATTCTGCTGCCCACACCAGGACTTCCCTTTGGGAAAGCCACTCTGCCGCCTCAGCGTAGGGTGGAGCATGTGAGCCAGGCCTCAGTGGAGCACCCACTGAATGGCTCAGGAATTGACATGTGACCCAATTCTGCCCAATGACAGCGAGCCCTGGGATTTTTGCTGGAATTACTGGGAAGGAGGTGCTTTCTTTCTGTTGGAGTTGCTGCACCTTCTGTTGGGGCCAGCCCGGGAGTGGAGTCATCTCCCAGGAAAACAGAGATGATACACCTCGCCCTGTTGGCATCATCTGAGCTTTGGACTCAGCCTTGTGATAGGGGGACCTATACCTGAATTCATCTGAAAAGCAGTCATATTATTTTAAGTCTCAGAACGCATATGCTTATGTGAATAGGGGGTTACGTTTCTTATATGAGAAAAGGGAGTTAAGTTTTTCTTAAAGTTTCCTTTTCAAGGCCTGTGCAAAGCGATGGAGGAGGTGACTCAGCTGTGAATCCAGCAAGCAGAACCCATAAGCATGGTCAGGCCGACCCACCAGGAGTCAAAACATCATCTCATCAACATCATCTCATCAATGACTGAAGACAATAGCTGACGTCTGCGGACCCCCGGGGCTGCACGTAGCACCCTGGCCCCTTCCCCTTTATACTCCTGCCCCCTGCACCTTGCTGGAAGGCAGGGTTTGATGCTTGTAAGCGCCCTGTCTTCTTGGTGGGCTGTCCTTCCCAATAAATGCCTAGTATGATTCAACCTGCCTTCCTTATTGGACACAGCGACAGGCAGCCCGAGCCCACCCGGGGGTTTCCGGGTAACACTTGCCCGGACTTTTTAATTACTCCGCCCCATAAACTCCGTTTTCTCAAGTGAATATGAGCTCGCACTGTCCCTTGCAGCCAAAGGAGCCCTGCGGACAGGAAGGAGGGAAAGCACCCCCTAGGATGGACGGTGGGTCCCCTCGCGGAGGTCCCCGGCCTTCCTTCTGCCTGGCACAGAGGTGACGCGGGTCAGTGGCCGGGTTCCCGACCACATACCTGTTCCAGCAGCTGCTGCTGCTTGGCAGCCGCCTCCAGCGCAGCCAGCTCTTTGAGCCGAGCCCTGAGGTGGGCCAGCTGGCCGCCTTTCGCCCCCCTGGCGCCCATTTTTCCCGCTGCGGCCAGGGCGGCATTGAAGAGCTTGGGGGTGCCGGCCCGCGGAGGAAGGATGAGCACGCTCTTCTCCTTGGGCTTGCTGTTACTCTTCAGCATGCGCCTGCAAGAGAGAGCGTCCGCTCACATCACCAGCATGCAGCGTCCGCTCATGTCCCCAGCACAGCGTTCACTAATGTCCCCAGGACAGCATTCACCAATGTCCCCAGCATGCAGCATTCACTCATGTCCCCAGCACAGCATCCACTCATGTCCCCAGCACACAGCTTCTGCTCATGTCCCCAGCACACTCAGGGACAGAGGAAAAGTTTGCTTGTATAGTGCCCTTGGAGTTGGACTTGTATGGTGGTGGTTGTTTGGCGAGCCCTTTTTTTAAAATATATTTTTTTATTGATTTCAGAGAGGATGGGAAAGAGAGAGAGAGAGAGAGAGAGAGAGAGAGCGAGAGATAGGGACATCAATGATGAGAAAGGATCATTGATCGGCTGCCTCCTGCACACCCCCTACTGGGGATCGAGCCCGCAACCCAGGCATGTGCCCTGACCAGGAATCAAACCGTGACCTCCTGGTTCATAGGTCGATGCTCACCCACTGAGCCACGCCAGCCGGGCTGGCAAACCATTTCTGAGTGTATTTTCTGAGCCAAGCACAGCGCTAAGGGCTTCGTACATAGCATCTCACTGAACGATCAGAACAACAGACGTGGGTCTTATTGTCTGCACCTTATAGAGGAGGAAACGGAGGCTCAGAGAGGTTGAGCAACTTCCCTGAGGTCACACAGGAAATAACGAAGGTACTTCAGTGTATGGAATCAGAAATAAGAGGCCCAGATGGAAAAGGACCCAAAGCTTTTTGCTTCTCTTTCTCTGGCTTCATTGCCACATCACCAGCAGCAGCAGCACCACCTCAGCCCTTACTGAGCGTCTGTACGTGTCAGGCCCTGTGCTCAGTCCTCTACAAGCGCTCTTGGGTGGCTCTGCGGTCCCCCTTCCTGCCTCTGTGTGAGCCCCGCCCCTTGAGGGGGGTGGGACATGCCACCTACTTTCAATCACTAGAACACAGCGAGGGTGAACAACTGTCACATTTATGAACAGGTCACACAGGATCCTGATCTCTGTCTTGCAAGGACAAGCCTTGCTGGCTTTGCTGAAGCCAGCGCCCACGTGGGGGGAAGTGTGGGGACAAGACCCTGAGGGCAGCCACCAGTCCTACAACCACAAGCACTGGATTCAGCCAACAACCACGTGACGTGGAAGCAGATCCTTCCCCACTTGAACTTGAGAGGAAACCCAGCTCTGGCAACACCTTGATTACAGCCCTGGAGTGGGCCCGCCCCAGCCATCCCCAGACTTCTGACCCATAGAAACTCTCAGATAATAAATACGTGTGGCTTCAGGCTACTGAGTCTGTGGTAAGACTGTTAGGCAGCAGTGATAACTGACAACGCACTCTGCCATTTAAGTCTCCCAGGGGTCCTCAGGTAGGTCCTGTTATTGCCCCTCATTTCAAACGAGGACATGGAAGCCCAGAGAGGGTGAGTAACTTCCCCAAGGTCACACAGCTGGGAAGTGGCCGAGCTGGAATTCAAACCCACACCTCTGACCCCAGCACGCCAGGCCTTAATGATCGCAGCAACTTCATGGGCATGCTCTTCCTGGATGCTGACAGCACTCCTGTGACACGGGAAGGGCTGGGATTACTGTGCCTATGAGAGCTGGGGAAACTGAGGCCCGGGGGGGGGGGTGACGTGCCCAAGGTTGCTAGGAAGTGGCCGAGACAGAATAACAACCCAGATTAAATGCGGCATGTCACCCGGCTTCCCTAAACGAGGAGAGACTTTTCCATCTAACGGAGCCGCCGCCTCTCATAAGGAATTCTTCACGCTGCACATTTATGACGAGCGGCTTGGCTCAGGAACAAATGCATTTCGCCTGCGATCGAGCAGAGCCGAGACTGCTAATTGGCCCATTCATTCCTCGGGCTTCCAGCAAAACGTGTTTGTTTACAAAGGAGGCCCTGGCTGGCTGCTTCTCTAATCAGAGGCAATGGATTGGAATTGTGCGTATCGATATTAATTGCCCAAGACGTGCATGTGCTAGCTGGGGCTGCCCCCGGAGAACACCACGTGATCCTTCATCTAGGCCTCTTCCGAGCCCGGCACCGGCACCGGCACCGGCACCGGCACCGGCACCCGTGTTATTTGAGTCTGTAATTCCGAGCACACGCGTCTGCAGGAAGGCTCGGCGTGGGACGCAGGCGACACGAAGGAGCTGTCCACAGGACCTTCGAGGAGGGCTGGCGCTGGCTCTGGTTTGAAACATTGAGCTGGCTTCTGGGGCGCTTCTGGATTAAGGAAACTGAGCCTCGTTTTCAGATGGCATGCATTTCACTATAATTGATCAAGCATTGACCCCTGCAGGAAGGGGCATGCATGAGAACTTTTGGCCCCCTTTCTTGGAGGGGCCAAGTCCAAGAGCTGAGCGCCTCGCTTATTTGGGGCCACGGGTCTCCCATAAAGGGGGGAGCTCAGACAGAACCCCACATGTGGCTTTCACCAACTCAGACAGACACCCCCAGGCCCTGGGGTTCTCAGACCCCATCTCTCTCTCTTTAAATTGATTTCAGAGAGGAAGAGAGGCAGAGAGAGATGGAAACATCAATGACGAGAAGGAATCATTGATTGCCTCCTGCACACCCCCTACTGGGGATCGAGCCAGTAACCCGGGCATGTGCCCTGACCGGGAATCAAACCACGACCTCCGGTTTATAGGTCAACGCTCAACCACTGAGCCATGCCAGCCAGGCGATCTCGTCTCTCTTTCGATGGGCAGCACTCCTACGTAGCCCCCTGCCTCTCTCCTCAAACTTGTCCAGAATCGGCCCCTCCTCCTTCCTCTGGCTGCCCCCACGCCCACCCCCTGTCCCGCAGGCAGGTCAGGAGTGAGGCCTCTGCAGGATCTGGCTGATTTGGCAAAGCTTCACCTAACCCGGCCGGTGGGATGGATGCCACTTGAGCCTGGCTTTCCTGCAGGGGGCGGAAGGGAGGGGAAGCCCAGGGGCCAGTTCTCAGACATAAACAGTCAGTTCCCATTACCTGGGTAAATTCTACGAATCCCTGCAAACACGGAATCAGTGACTCCTGAACCATCGCCGCTGGGGGAATCGGGATGAGGGCTCTGTGTGCCTCTCAACACAACATCTTCATCAGCCGGTCAATGCATAGCCTGCCTTGGGTGTGCTTCTGCTTAAAGACATCTCATTTATCCTATAGCCGACCCATTCACAACGAGCCCAGGGCCGGCAGCTCCAAACCTCGAGGCATGTCCCAGCCTTTTTAAGTAGCGAGGTCACCAAAAAACGTCACGGAAGCGTAAAAACCGGGCAGACCACCCAAAAAGACACTTGAGTACGGTAGGAGCTGGAAGGAGAGGGCGGAGCGCCCCTTGCTCCGGCTCAGCTTGGAACACGCCCTCTGGGCGGCTCAGATGTTCCCCTGCTTCCCGGTGCCTGCCAATGCCATGCGCGCACGCCCTGAGTGTGGGTCTGGGTTATAAATGAATGTTAGCGAGGAGGCGAATCGCAAATACAGGATCCGAGAAGAGTGAGTGTTGTCCCCGGCCCTCAGAAGACGAGGGGAAGTGGGGGGTTTGGTGGGGAAAGTTCAGGTTCACCGGCCTTTGGAAGGGCCCAGCGGCTTCCCCACCCCCCCACCCCCCCCACCCCGCCCCATCGCGGGCAGAGCCATCACCAGGCTTCACCTACAGGCCCTCCCCAGTCCCAGCCCCTCGCTCCTCCATCCCCATAGCAAGCTGTGCTCCTTTTCTTGCTGGTCTGCACACACACACACCGAGCCTGCGCCTCCGTGGGCCTTTGCACATGCTGTTCCCTCTGCCTGGCATGCTGTTCCCCTGTGGGCAGCGCCCTAGCTCATGCCTTTCCTCTCTGCAGGTCTCCGTGGACATGCCACCTGCTCAGAACGGCCTTTCCTTGCTGACTTGTCCCAGTAGCTCCCTCCGTCAGCATGTCCCCTCCCGTGGCTTTGTGTTTCTGCAGAGCCCTTGTCCCCTGGTGACACATCACCTAATCATTCCCTTCTCCGTTGTTGGTCCCCCCTCCCCCCCCCCACTAGGATGCTGGCTTTGTTTGGTCCCGGCTGTGTCCCCAGGGCCTCTAACTACATCCTCAATAAATGACTGTGCTGCATGAACAGATGTTGGAGACTCGGTTCCTTTTACCAGGACCACGTTCTGTGCGTGATGTTATTTCAAAGAATGAAGGGGGAAAGGAGAATATGCAATAAATGGCAAGGGAGGGCAGACACCAGATATGTGCATTAGAAAGTATCCAATGGGAAAATTATAGAGGGAATTGAACGGATAAAGAGGGACCATCATTATTCACCTTCTTACTGAGCCCTCCCACAGGCCAGGCACCCTGCTGGAGACGCACACAGTGGTGGAGTTATAGTTACCATTCATTTACAGGGGAGAAGACCGAGACCAGAGAGGTTAAGACACTTTCCCAAGGTCACACAGCCCGTACCAACACCTGGAGGAGATCTGAGCTCTCTCAGCCCCCCGACGCCGACTGGGGTCCCCTACCAGAACCATGTGGCCTCCGTCACGCAATTAAAACCCCGATCTTTTAAAAGCAAAAATACGCTTTCCTAAGAAATCACCTGCTCCCTGACAATCCCCGATACAGGTGCACAGGTTCTCACTGCAGCCCTGTTCCTACTACAAGATCCCGGAAACGGCCCGAATGGCCACGCACAGGAGCGCTTTGCCGCTGCCCACGGGGGTGAGCGCGCTGTCTGTGGGCCCACAGGGGCCGCGCGGCAGGGTTGGCGCCGTGTGCAAAAAAGCAACGTGCAGAGAGAACCCACAGTGAGCCACTCTCCGCGCAAGGCAGAAACAGAGCTCAGAACCCGTTCTCGGACCGGCCTGTATTTGCCAAAGGAAACACAGAAGGGCCTACAGCGATGGAAGAGGAAGTCTTAGTCCTTCAGGACCGCACGCGAAAGCATCCATGCACTTTCTTTTTTTTAGAGAGAGAGAGTGGAAGGGAGAGGGGGAGACAGAGAGAAACATCTACGTGAGAGAAACACATCCATCGTTCACCTCCTGCATGAGCCCCACCCCACCCAGGGCCAGGGATCGAGCCTGCAATGCGGTGCGTGCCCATGACCAGAACCGAACCCGGGACCCTTCAGTCCGAGGGCTGACGCTCCATCCACTGAGCCAAACCAGCCAGGGCTCCGTGGACTTTGTCAGTTAAAAAAAAGAAAGGAAAGTACCTGGCCTTCTTCCGGAGCAACTTCTGAGACTCGGGATAATGCACCAGAATTTCATTCAGGTCCTTCTTGTCCAGAATGAAGAGGTTGGTGAAGCCGTGGGCCACCACGTTGGCCGTGCGCCGATTCCCGCCTCCGACCGCCAGCAGGCTGGGGTGAGGGAGGAGGGGGTGAGGCCCTTCGGGGCTGCAGTTCTGCTCACCCTAGTCTTCCTCTCCACCCTGTGTCCGGCCCCACGCCAGTGAGAGCGTGTCACCTGCATATGTCGACAGGTGCCGGGGCGGCATCCACAGGGGCTTCCCTCCTGGACCCCCAGGGGC